CCAGTTCTGTATGCACAAATAAAAAAAAAAAAAAAAATTTAAAAAATTTGATATTGGGCCCTCCCTGGTGGCGCAGCGGGTTAAAGTACAGCACTGAAAATCTAAAGCCGCTTCCGAAAATCTAAAGCCTCACCCCCGAGCCTCTGGCCTGTACCCCAGTTCTGTATGCACAAATAAATCTTTAAAAAAAAAATTTTGATATTACTTTTTATTATTAAAGAAGAGCTTAAAGTAAGGTGAACTTAAAATAAACCGAACAAATATTACTATTTAACAAGCAGCCTATTACTGTATTTTCATTTAGCAATTCTGGGCACTGAAGATGATTTCAAGGCACGAACTCTTTCCTGCCTGGGTGTCTCAGTACCTTTTGAGACTGAAGAGGTAAGGAGGCCAGCTAATTGTTTCCCACTAGGGTCTAATGCTTTGTTATTATGTAACCTGGCATTAGCAATATCTGCCTCTTAGATTCTTGTTACATTTCGAAGCATTTCTTTTCCACCCCAGGGTATATTGTAATGACCAAGGCATGTATAATTACACAGCACCATGCAGAGAACATGGATCTGTTCACCTCAACTGGTGATAGTACAGCTTCCCACCACACCAAAATACATAATTTTGGTAGTTTGATTGTATGAAAGGGGCTCTGGAGATTGGTGGAGGTTGCTTTTGAAAAGGATACTTATATGAAAACTTCTTTCTACAAGGACCCCTTCCTGGAAAACCTAATTTCCTTATCCCTCAATTGCAGTGCTAAATCTGCATTCCTGCTATCGAGTGTGCCTTCCCTGGTAAACTCTCTAGTTGAACTTCATCTGTCCTATCTCCTGTGTTTGACTAAGCATAAAAAATGGCTTCTGAAGCCATGTGGGCTACTTATTCAGTCACCTTGGGTTTCTCCCCTGTCTGCAGGAAGTAGTCATGTGATTATTAAACTGCTTTTTCACTTATCAATATGTCTGATGCTTATTTGATGATTTGCCAGGCTAGAAGGCACCCCAAACCTGAGCCCTGAAACTCAGGAGGAGAGCTGCTCAGCTCACTATGTGTTGATTTTCATAGCTACAGAGTTGTGAGAAGTGCTTTGTTTCCCAACTCACAGTGAACCAAAAGCAACAAACATGAAAGTAAAGAAGTAGGTAGTGGCAGCCGAAGGAGAGAGAGACCACAGGAGCATGGCACATCACAATTTACTGGCTACTGAAGGCTCTTTAAATGAGGACACTGTTTAATCCAGAAAAAGTCACATTATTATTTTTTTCTTTTCTAAAGATTTATCTATGCACACAGAAGTAGGGTACAGGTCAGAGGTGCAGGTTTGGGGGTGGGGGAGTGTGGTGTGAGAGGATTTACCAGAGACAGAGTCAGGAGCAGAACAGGCAGGTCAATGAAATACACTGCTGAGGGGAGCAGCGGGTGGGTCAGTCAGGAGAGGTCTGCCGCGCCATGTGGGTCAACGTGCTACAATGGCTGCTTCATAGTGCTGTGCTTTAACCCGTTGCACCACCAGAGAGAGCCCAAAGTACATTTTTTAAGAAAATTTATATTTAAGATGAGGAAAGGTATCAGACAGTTCAATTTTTTTAGACAAATCAAGCAAGATGCTATTTTGCATATAAGAATCTAACTCAATTTTCTATTAGACATGGATTCAATCTGACTTTTGAATTTTTTCTCAATATTTGTCTTGTGAAAAATTCTAATCCTTAGAAGCAAAAATAACTTGGGGAAATTGGGGTTCATCTTGTCCTTTGTTTTACTCATTTTTAGTAACACAAGTGATTCAGATTCTGAAAGAAGGAAAAGGATGGCAAGTAAGTCCTTGTTTTGATTTTCTTCTCTTTAAGGATTCTCATATGAAAGCAGCAGCATTGAAAACAAGAATCAGTTACTTCAGGGAACTGAGTTTTTGTTGTTTACTTTTTGTTTTTAAATAGAGTAATTCTAGGTGAGTATGTTTTAGTTGAGTAAAGTGTCATATATGAGATTTTCTAATTTCAGCAGGAGAATTTTACCTTAGAGAATGATAGCTCTTGTTGGGGTGCAGGGAAAAATCCCCCATCTCTCTGGGTTCCTCACAGCTGGATGAGTCATCAAAACAGCATCAGCTGGGTTAGTAAGGGAAAAACAATGGCTGTAAATTCTAAAGAATAAAGTGAGGGACCTGGGGGGTGGGTGGGGGTAATTATCCTGTGTTAAGGAACCCAGGGTATCAAGGAGAGAGGCGGGGGTGGGGGGGGGTTGCCGCATTCTTGTGCTGAGAGTAAAGCTGAGATTCTCAGGGAAAGACATGTTTACTGATAAACTTAAACTTGGATGAGACCCCAAGCTAATTCTGTATCATAAAAGGAGGACCAGTGATTGCTTCTTTGATTAGGGAAGGGCACAGGACTCAGATGAAAACTCCATGTCTTCCAGGACCCTCACTCTCCTTGACTTAAAATACTCTATTCTTTATGTAATGGTGACGGGACCTTGGTTGACCTCCAGTTCCCATATCAAGGTGACACAATGTTGGTTAAAAAGTTTTTTCTGTATACATCAAATCATACATACTGTGCATTATTTACAAATAATCAAAATGGAATGATGATGCCGGTCATTTCTTTTCAACTGCGTCTTCCTGCAAAGTTCTTTAAGGTTATCTAATTTCTGTGGTGATTTCATCTGGCCTGTGTTGACTTACAACTTATTGTTCTGTGATCTGCTCTGTACCTTGGCCTAAGCTGTCAACCCTAGATATGTCCTGAAGAACTGGATGGCAGAATCTGCAGTACAAAAAGCAGAAAGGAATGACTTTTCAGAGGTAAGGTGGCTGACTGTCCTGGGTGCATTTGCATTCACTTACAAACTCTTACTTTGCTTGCAGACATGCAGAACAGGCCAGCACAGCTTCTCAGCATTCTCTGTGCTTGGTATCTCATTTTATTTTGCTTATCAGTGAATCAATTTCTGAGGTGTTTTTTTTTTTTTAAAGATTTATTTATTTTTGCACACAGAACTGGGGTGCAGGCTAGAGGTGCAGGGGTGGTGAGAGGATTCACCAGAGACAGGGTGGGGAGCAGAACAGGCCGACTGAGGGGAGCAGCGGGCGAGTCAGGAGAGGTCTGCCGCACCATGTGGGTCACCTCCAGGGCAGGCGGGTATCGAACTCAGGCTGAAGTGGCTGTAGCTTCTTAGTGCTGTGCTTTAACCCGCTGCACCAGCAGGGAGGGCTCCTGAGGTATTTTTAATGTATTTAAAAATTTTAATATCTCATATCACTTCTAATATTTGAAATTCTGGGCAGCTGATTCTGCTCTTTCGGAATTTTGCATTTCAGTTGCTCAAATGCAATGAAGCCATTTTAGGAGACAGCTCTCCAGATGAAGTTAGCTTTTGCTTCTACCAGGTGTCTATGGCACCAGCAACCCGCGGTTACTAAGTTAGTCTTGACAGCAGTGAGGATGATAGAACCAGGTCTACAGGCATCAGCATGGGTGGGTGGCATATACGCATTAAGCAAAAGAAGCAGGCTGTGAAGGAGACCTCACTAGCTGAAAGCATCCGAAATCATGTTATCCAGGGTTACGTTTAACAACGTGATTGAAGTTCACATCTTCTTTCATGTCTCCAGCATTCCATGACCAGTTATTTAAAAATGCGCGGCATGTGGTGTATCTTGGGAGAGGGCTGGCTCCCCACTGGGGCTGCTGTCCCTCTGCTTGTCCCAGGAGATGTGTCCACGATCCTGCCCAAATGTGAACACTGGCCACAGACTCGGAGTCCTCCCGACAGCGTGCTGTGGGGCCACCCCCCACTGACTGGAGGTGGCCTGCTGTTCTGATTTGGAACTTGCATTCACTTTAAATTTCGGCAGTTTAACTAGTCTGATAACCCTGGGTTTTCATTGGCGAGAGTAAGTGATTAGATAAGTGGCCTAAGCTGGGAAACACATTTGACTAAGTTGTCTGGTTGATCTGTTTCTCCTTCCTTCCCTATCTTTTGTTCCTTCTTTGTTTTCTTCCCTTCCTCAAAGTTCTGTTTGAGCTGGGAGGCAGTGCCGGCAGGGTTGGGAGTTGTCTAAGGTCGAAGTGAACTTCCACGTTCAGTTCACAAGACAGAGGGGCGCAGGTAGCTTCCGGTCTCACTTGCCCAGAGTTGGAGGTGGGGACAGCTGGTGGGCGGGGTGACCTCAGGTTCCTTGTTGGCTGGAACCTGCAGCCCCCGCCAGCAGGGAAGGGCAGCGGGGTAAGCTCAGGTGGATGCTAGTCAGTGCCACTTTATCAGGTTACCAGGGGGGCGACCTAGAAAGTTAACGATGGGTTAAGTCTCACGCTGGAAAACAAAGATCTTGTAGTCCTTTACACACACACCTTGTTTTACCTTCACATATCAAATATTCTTGAGGGGCCTTCGTGACCTAGGGGTTAAGTCTTAGCACTACCACCACTGGGGGATTCCCCACTCTCAACCCAGGGGGCTGACTGCAGGGGCTTCTCCCCTCAGCGTGGATTTCAGTAGATCCATCTCCTCCGCACCCTACTTTGTCTCTGGTGAATCCTCTCACCCCCTATACCTCTGATGTGCACCCCAGTTCTTCTATTACGTACAAGACAAACAAACAAAAAAAACATTCTTGAAAACGCCCTCTGTGCGGGGTATTGCACAGAAGTATAAAAACCAAGCTGGGAAGCTGTAAGCCTGTGGCTGAGCCTAGGTGAGTGTGCAGCCACTTCAGTGAAGGGACATGAAGGAAAAGGCTGGGAAGACGCTCCAGAGGGGAGGTGAGAGCACCACGCCGGGGCGCTGCAGGCTGCCGGCACAAGCCATTAGTGGTCCCGTGAGATATTCTCTTTGGTCTCTTGGTTCTCATTAAATATCCACTTTTCCCTTTTTTCAGAACTAGATTTTTCCTTAGTAATACCCAAGGAAGTGGCAAACTGCATTTTTTTTAAAATATATTTTAAAAGGACAAATTTATTAGGAAAAGGAGAAAGAAATAGTGAGTAATCCTGCATAGTCCCTGGTGGGCAGGGGAGCTGTGCTTTGCCAGTGCTAAATCTATTCATTTTGGCCCTAAAATGATTACTGTAAGAGGTGTGTTCTCTGATGGCTCTATTTATTACCATGGAGCAGAATTCTATTTTTTTTTAAGATTTATTTATTTATGCATACAGAACTGGGGTACAGGCCAGAGGTGCAGGGGCGGTGAGAGGCTTCACCAGAGACAGAGTGGGGAGCAGAACAGGCAGATCAATGAAGTACACTGCTGAGGGGAGCAGCAGGCGGGCCAGGAGAGGTCTGCCACGCCATGTGGCAGGCGGGAATCGAACTCATGCGGAAGTGGCTTTAGCCTCTCGGTGTTGTGCTTTAACCCGCTGCGCCACCAGGGCGGGCCCTGAAAGAATTCTATTTTTTTAATTAAAGATTTATTTATTTATGCATATAAGAACTGGGGTACAGGCCAAAGGTAAAGAAGATGAGAGGATTCACCAGAGACGGGAGTAGAACAGGCGGACTAACCTAAATACACTGTTGAGGAGAGCAGCTGGGGGGACAGGAGAGGTCTGCTGTGCCATGTGGGTCACCATTCTGACGGGGGCATCAAACTTGTGCTGCAGTGGCTGTGGACAGCTTCATAGTGCTGTGCTTTAACCCCTCGCACCCCCAGGGAGGCCCCAGGAGCAGAATTCTAGATGAGGAAGAATGTGAGTTGGAACCCATGACTTTGATTTGGAGATATTATAAATCATCAACATCCTTTTATTATTACTATTTTTTTTAGTAAACATTTAGGAAATAATAGCTCTTTTTTTTTTAAGATTTATTTATTTGTGCGTACAGAACTGGGGTACAGGCCAGAGATGTGGAGGGTGAGAGGATTCACCAGGGACAGAGTGGGGACAGAACAGGCAGATCGACAAAGTACACTGCTGAGGGGAGTAGCGGGGGTCAGGAGAGGTCTGCCATGCCATGTGGTCACCTCCGGGGCAGGTAGGAATCAAACTCATGCGGAAGTGGCTTTAGCTTCTCAGTGCTGTGCTTTAACCCGTTGCGCCACCAGGGAGGCCCAATAGCTCTTAATGTTATGAAGCAATCTTAAAATTATCAGGATATGAATGCATCTTTATGATACTGCACATGTTCATACACAGAGGTTAACATAGTAGTAGTATTTCAGGAATTTTTGGTGATACAAGTGGAAGTTTAAATAACTGCCGCGGCCAAAGTTTTGATAAAACATGTTTAAACATTGTCAAACAAATGTAAAATTTTCCATGTTTTAGCAACCGAGACAGGAAATCTGTATTTATCAATTTCATTGATTTATCAGGTCCATCTTCTCCAGCAAGTTCTTCAGCAGCCTTTCCAGAAGCACCCTACAGCTGAGAAAGCTGGCTACTCCTCACCTACGCCTTCTTGGGCTAAAGACCTTAAAGTCAGCTGCTCATCTTAACTTGAGGAACTCAACGGAGAACAACTCATCATTGTGAATTCTTGAATTTAAGCACATTTTACACCACTGGAGTTATAACATTTATGATGGAGTTATTACATTTATGACGTATAAATTGTGCCGTATTTGGCCCTTGGGGTTTTACACGTGTTGGCTTCTTTTTGATATGATCCTAGAAATTTTTTTTAAAGATTTATTTATTTATGCATACAGAACTGGGGTACAGGTGAGGTACAGGAGCCGTAAGAGGATTCACCAAAGCCAGAGCGGGGAGCAGAACAGGCAGATCTATGAAGTACACTGCTGAGGGGAGCAGCAGGCCAGTAGGAGAGGTCTGCCATGCCTAGTTATATTTATTAATGTTAAATATCAATATGTACAGATTCATATTTTTAATGGTTTAAAAATATTCCATAGTACAAAAATGTCATATTTTGTGAAATCATTTACATACTGATACCCACTTGGATTTCAAGTCCCCCCCCCCTTTATAAATATAGTTTCCTTTACATATATTTTGTAGAATCCTGCTAGTAGAATTAGTTAATACACTAATTATGCATAGAAAATATTTAGGTACTGCCAAATTGAACCCCAAAAAGGTTTATAATTAACATTTCTAACAATGTACACAATAACAGTTTCCTCAAAAACTAATAGAAAGCTTAAAATAGGATGTTAAAAACAAATACAAATATGTAATCATGGTACAAGTAAATTAATTTTTACTTGTACTGTATTTGTTTACAAGAGTCAGACCTAGACCAAAATGACATAGAAAGGTTGAAATTAAATTTGAATTAAATTGAAATTTGGCAGGCAAATAACTGAAAACAAAAATGTGGTGTAGATGTATGAATGTAAAATGTAAAAACTGTTATACGGTGACATATAGTTCAGTTCACCATGAATATATGTACATTTTACTTAATGAAGTGTCAAAATACAGAAAGTACAATTTTCCAGAACAAAAGAGACTGACATACCTACTTCCATAGAAGGAAACTTTAACACAGTCCTCTTAGTACCTGGTAGATCAAGCTGACTAGACCTTAGACTAGGGGAGACTGGAGTAATAAGCTTAATTAACATGGATAGTGCCACACATTGCGTATGGTCTTCTAGAGATGGTTGCTTTTTCTGTCTCTAACTTTTAATTTATAGGGTTTCTATTGCCATGTGATAATCAAGTACCCGAAAACTAACATTTCCCCCTAAATATTGTATTATTCAACTACTAAAAAACCCAAGGCACAAACAGTGGTTGTCCACCATTCCAGTGGATAATCAAGCAATGATTGGTGAACTGAACACACACACTGCCTCTCCTGCTTTTTTCCCTCTTCTAATTTTTCTGAAAGATTTTGAAGGTCATAGAGGTAGTGCTGGAAAATGTCTAAAATCAAGAAACTTGAGAAGACACAGGATTTTTTTTTTTTAAATCAAGCATGTCTTCAGATAGTGTTGCTGTTCCTACACAGACAATGATATTTACAGAAATCTGTTGTAAAACGGTGTTTGATGCTTTCAGCCGTAATAGAAAGAAACACAAAATCTCATTTTGTTAACCTGGAAGGAAAGACATTCTACTCAAGTGGAAAGTCTTAGGAAAGATATGTACATTTAAAGGCAAACCCTAGAGGTTTCTAATGATTATGAATGTGAACTCCAACCGTGAGATCTCATATTTTTGTCCCAAAATTTCAACATTTAACCTAAAATGAACAAGATGTCACCAAAATAAAGGACCAGAAATGCTTGCGGTTAGAAATAAATAACTCCTAACGCACAAGGGCTTCTGGATCCCCAGTTAGGACACGTTGCCTCTCTTCTTTTGCAAAGCTTTCATGAGATCTGACATGAAATCCTGCTCCCCGCTCCCTGCCCCGCTGGGTGGCCCTGGGTTCTCTTGCCTCTTTGGAGGAACGGGACGCTTTTTGGCGACAATGGGGGTCGCTTTTGAGGACGTGGGGTCAAAGGCAGGTGGGGGCGGCGGCGGCGGCGGCAATGAAGACTCTTCATCCCCTGCAAACGGCGGTGGCGGAGGCACGAAGTCCGGCGGTTCGTCGTTAAAATGGGGGGGCGGTGGAGGCATCTCGTCCTCCTCCAGAGGGGGCAGGGGCGGAGGCGGCGGCAGGACGTCTTCGGGCGGGGGAGGGAAGCCGCTGCCAGGGTCCTGGGGCTTGTGGGGAGCCACCGGGCTGCCGCCCACGTCTGAAGACCGCCGCACGGGAGGAGGTGGAGGCAGGCTAGACTTTGGCGGCCGGTGCACCCCGAGAGCTCCTGGGCTGTCGTTTCCAAGGGCTGGCTTCTTGTCCTTAAACGAAGCAACAACAGCGTCGTTCTTAACATCACAGCCACCGTGGGGATGCCATTTACATGGACTCACGCGACCCTGCCGATTTAGGTTGTGCACCCCTGAGACTCCAAGGTGGAGTCTCACTTCTTCACTCTGGTACAGGATGACTCAAATGGCGGCTAACATTGGGGCTGAGGGGAGAATTGGGGAGGCGAATCCCCGCTCTTCTGTAAATGCAAGACGCCGCCCTGTCCAAGAAGGTGATTATTCTATTTAGATTACATTCTATGCATCTGGAACCACCTTACTCTGGAGTTACTGATGTTTTTAAGAGAGCTCTAGAGGCCCTCCCTGGTGGCGCAGCGGGTTAAAGCACAGCACTGGGAAGCTAAAGCCACTTCCACATGAGTTCGATCCCCGCCTGTCCCGGAGGTGACCACATGGCGTGGCAGACCTCTCCTGACCCACCTGCTGCTTCTCAGCAGTGTACTTCGTTGATCTGCCTGTTCTGCTCCCCACTGTCTCTGGTGAAGCCTCTGGCCACCCTCAGCCTCTGGCCTGTACCCCAGTTCTGTATGTACAAATAAATAAATCTTAAAAAAAAAACAAAACAAAAACAAAAGAGCTCTAGAGGTCAACAGTAGTGGGAGTTGCCTCCATCTTAACCATCAGTCAGCCGGAGACTGGAAGCAAAATGGCTCCCTGACCCCACCTTGGTTTCCAAGACAGGCCACCAAGATCCTCAGCATATGCCTCATGTCATCGTTCTGGGTCTGGCTAAGCTCGGCTGTCAGGTGGAGGCTGACAGGCTCAGGGCCACTCCCTTAGAGGCAGAGGCCCCGAGCTTCCCCACATCGGTGGCTTAAACCTCCTGGGTGGATTAACACAAAGCAGATAAAAGGCAAAAGAAATTGGAGCTAGTTTTCTCCTGACTAAGGTAACCTTGTGAGAATGTGGGCACAAACATCTTTCCTGGCCCAGAACTGTTCTGCGTCCGTGTTTTCGGCCTTCTCGCTGCAAACCAGGACTGTGGACTCAGCTTTGCTGTCTTTGGCGTTCACAGGAACCTGCGCACCTGGGCTATTGTCTCAGATTGGTCTTTGCTGACTTGTGCAAAGGCCAGTTAGCTGAGGGGCCTCCCTGGTGGTGTGATGCGTTAAAACGCGGGGTCATGAAGCTGTCCGCAGCCACTACCACAGGAGTTCCATCTCTGGCCAGGGGGGTGACCCACCTACCATAGCAGACATCTCCTGTCTTGCCCACTGCTCCCCCCTTGCAGTGTATTTCAGTAGATCTGCCTGTTCTGCTCCCCACTCTGTCTCTGGAGAATCCTCTCACCCTTCCCCCACACCCCTCTGGCATGTACCCCAAATCTTGTATGCATAAATAAATTTTAAAAAGTCAAAATGTGCTAGTATTAAAAAAAAAGACTACGTCAGTTGGCTGATCCGGTATAAGGTGAGCATCGGGACCCCTATGAATATCGGTGTCTTGATCAAATGAGATAAATAAGTGAGTGGGTTTGAAATGCTGAATCACAACATGTGCGGTAGGCAGACCCCAGAAAACGAACCCAGCCAAATGCTATGATGGCTCAGTTCTTCCTGTGCCAACAGTGGAACAGAAAAGAAGGAATTATATTTATCTCATGCAACTTCCTCAGGAATTTCAGGCAGCTGACTTGAATCTTCTCCTTTTAGTGATAATTATCATTGCAATTTGCATTTTATCAGGCGTTCCTGTTTCTTCTTTGCTTAATAACCTTTTCCCTTCTAAATTTAGAAATCTTTTTTTTTCTAATAAAGTCTTATGATTGAGTTCTAGTGTATTTAGGTTATGCAGTAAACTAGTGATATATTAAAAAAAATTTTTTTTTCACTGGTGTTCATACACAGTTAAGTGATTTCTATTCTGGGAACCTTGTATTGCTTTCAGCATTTAAAAATGTTTCTTTTCAGTTGGCACATAAATCACACACAAAAAGAGAACTCAGGACAACAATAATAATAATAGTGAAAAGTACTCTGATGAAATTGTCAGACTTCAAAGCACAGACTTGAGAAGATAAATATTAGAGAAGCACACCTTTTAAAGATCTACAGTGGTTTCCAAAAATTATAAAAAGTTTAGTATAGGAAACAATGACAATGAAAGATTACTGACGTTCTAAATTGTTGAAGGTTCTTTTGAATCACATATCGGAAATATTTTAAAAAAATTTATTTCTTTATACATACAGAACTGGAGTACAGGATAGAGTTGTGGGACTGAGAGGATTCAAAGTGGGGAGCAGACCAGGCAGATTGGCTGAAGTACACAGCTGAGGGGAGCAGCAGGCAGATCAGGAGAGGTCTGCTGCGCCATGTGGGTCGTCCCCCTGTCTGGGGATTGAACTTGTGTTGTAGTGGCTCCAATAGCTTCATAGTGCTGTGCTAAATCCAGTGCACCACTGTGAGGCTCCTCACATGGGAAATATTTAATGGAATTTATCCATAGTCAGCTTAGATATTGCTAACTGGGCTAGTATCTGAATTACAATTTTGGCTACAATTTTTATGTTAATTTAAAAGAGTCTTCGGGGCCCTCCCTGGTGGCGCAGCAGGTTAAAGCACAGCACTAAGAAGCTAAAGCCACTTCCACATGAGTTCGATTCCTGCCTGCCCCGGAGGTGACCACATGGCGTGGCAGACCTCTCCTGACCCGCCCGCTGTTACCCTCCGCAGTGTGCTTCGTCGATCTGCCTGTTCTGCTCCCCACTCTGTCTCTGTCCCTCTCGCCACCCCTGAGCCTCTGGCCTGTACCCCAGTTCTGTATGTACAAATAAATAAATCTTTAAAAAAAAAAAGAATCTTCAATGGCTATTATTTTTAGATGTATGGTCTTCTCCCCATCCTGATGTATGCATGTAGAAGCTGATGCATATAACATGCACATGTTCCAGGGTAGCCTTCTAATCTGGTGGCATTGAATATGGAACTTCTTACTAAGTAACTGCTTTAATTTATTCAGCAAAAATAAGTAAAAATCCGAAGTAAGGGCTTAATACTCATGTCACTTTGAGAAAATACTAAAATCACTTGACTATACCAAGACCATCATTTTAGTCATAGTAAAGGCAGCTAAATGAAAACTGCTTAAGCAATTCTCACATGGTTTTGCTCCATCCTCTGCCCTCAGTGGCAGAGAGTGGGGAAGGGACGTCCCAACCGCATCTCCAAATATGTGGGTTAAACTGTCCTACTCTGATTACCAGAGAGAAAATTTAAACAAATATTCCTGTAAAGGTAATTTTCTCAAGCAGCATGCTAACAGTGTCTTCAGCTTTCAAGGCTAGCCAATGTAACTTTAAGGCAAAAAAAAAAAAAAGCAAGTAAGTGAAATCACTAGATGACACTATAGCAACATCTTGTTAGAACCGCATATTCTCTTTTTAAAAGAGCCATGTCTAGAACACTGTGGTGTTTAGACCATGAGCTGACAGGGGGCAGGTGACGGAGTGATGCTGTTACCTCTCTGGCCTCACCTTAGTTGTTTCCGCGAGTCTCTGAGCCTCTTGCAGACCAGCATTCACAGACCTGGTGGCCTGGGGAATCTGTCCATTGGCCTGGGTGGTGCCTGTTTTATGCCCTGAGAAGGAGGAAGAGAGACATGAAGAGTGAACTAGGCATCTTCAAATTCCTGAGTTACTTTATATTTTTACTTTGAAAATAAAAAAGTTGATCTGTCCAAAACAGAAGGGATAGCAGGCATAGATGGAACCCAGACCTTATGAAAAATCCATAAGCCAGGGCAGTACTCTGGAAGACTGAGCAAAGACTCGGGGGAGGGGATGCTTTCTCAAAGCCACAGCAGCTCCGGATTAACTAGCAGCTCTGCGTCTAGAAAACATTTAGTGATTGGAAGAATAAACCATGAAAATAAACTCGAAAGGTAATTCCTACTGGTGAGATTTCTCTGTCATGTGTGTATGCAACTTCATGTGGTGCAGAGTACAGAAACAACATGGGAACATTCTCAACACTTGTATTCTGGCCACAGAAACAGTAGCCAGAGGGGACTGGCAAACCCTCATCAATCCTGGAATTAGAGATTTTTCCCCAACAGAAGCCGGTTATGCACTATTTTATTTTCTTGCTTTTGAAGTTGCCCTTTCCCCATAGGTCCGAGACTAATTGAGGTTTCATGGTTTTGAGAGATTCAGAAGAAGCTGTGCCTGCGGCTCTCTCTGGCCCTCAGAAATTCTGGAGAGGAGGGCGCAGTCCTGAGGACGCTTCTCTAGTACGGAGCCTAGTCTGGGAAGGCCCTGGGGTGGGGCTCCGAGTCCTCTTCCTATGGAGTCAGGGTGCATCACCATACGGCACCCCTGTGTGTTCACCAACGAGGGTGCTGCTCTGAGTCTTGGTGTCTAGAGTTATTATTGGGGTTTCATTGCCTATACATATGATTAAATCTTCTGTGACTGACAAGCCCCATCTCCTCCTGGGTGGGCAAGCAGCTGAAAGTTGCAATTTTCTTTTCTTTCTTTCTTTCTTTCTTTCTTTTTTTTTTTTAATATTTACTTATTTATGCATACAGAACTGGGGTACAGGCCAGAGGTGCAGGAGGTGAGAGGATTCATCAGAGACAGAGTGGGGATAGAACAGGCAGATTGATGAAGTACACTGCTGAGGGGAGCAGCAGGCAGATCAGGAGAGGTCTGGTGCACTCTGGGGCCAGGGTCGGAACTTGTGCTGAAGCAGCTGAGGCTAGCTCTGTAGTGCTGCACTTCAACCCATTGTGCCATTTGTGGGGGTTGGGGGGAAGTGAAAGTTGCACCTTTGGAGTCATGCACTTGGTCTTCCTGGTGGCCAGCCCCCATCCTAAAGCTGTCAGGAGCTCGCCAGGAGCTCACCATTAGTCATGTAATAAAGACACTCCTTTCACTCTGGAAATTGCAATTTTTGGAAGCTGTGTCAGGAAGTGGGGCCAGCTGGAGTCTCCACTGTCTCAGAGAGCGGCCATGACCGGAATGGTCTGAGTGGCCCCTGAACAGCAGGGAGAGCTCACTGAAAGCCTGACTGGAAGTGGCTCTTCCTAGTTGCTGACCACAGATCCAAACTCTCCCAACAGCTACGTTCAGAGCCAGGTGGTGTCACCTATGTGGGTGACGGTGCAGAATACCAGTTGCTTCATTCTGGAAGCAGCTGATATCTTCAAGGTGTCCTGATTGTTCTAAAAACAGGTCAGCTCATAACAAAAGAGCTGATGCAATGGCTTGCTGAAATGTAGGAGGATGCTTGTGAAAAGTAACTAGAACAGTTAATCAGAAACTGTGGTAAGAAAGAGAACTATTTGCTTAAAGCTAGTGACCCAAATGTCAGAGAAAAATGCTGCAAAGAAAGATTGTGAGTTATTCAGAAAAGAAAGGGGTCCTAGAGTTCAGCCAAATCAACTCAACGAGTGAGCCCCAGAACTGCAGTATCTGCAGGCAGAGACCAGGAGTCTTTACTGGAAAGGGCACTCATGCCCGGGAGGGATCTACACACCAGTCTCAGGGACGCCTCATCCCAGTGTGGCCCCACCTTGGGAAGGGGAAACTACACAACCCAATACCACCAGGTGGTGTTTCCTTACCAGGCTGGAGACCAGCAGAATTAAGATCACACTGAGGGTCAGTGAAGACCCACTTCTAATCATTCTCAGCAGCCTTTACTGACTCATACAACAGATGTTTACTGCAGACCAGGCTGAGAACTCTGAGCATACAACATGGAATTAGATATGGTCTTTGTCCTTTGGAGACTTTAGTGTCTACTGGAGGACAAAGGCAAAAATAAACCTATGGAAGACATGAAAGAATTAAAAATTGTGCCAGAACACAGCTTGGCGTAATCATGTCCAGGACTCTCCACTCCCGGAGCAACCAGAGAGGATGTAGCCAGTGCAAACTATTGTGGAATGTTGTATCCAAGCTACCGTAAGGCACCTGCCACGCGTTCAAGCTGGTTTCGACTTTGCAGCAGAAATGGTTAACTAGTCCAACACTTAACTCTGGGAAATAGGGACCAGAGTTACTCTGCCATAAGCAGTTCCAATCCCTTCAGTCATTATGTATCGCCAAGACGGTGTCTTTGTATCACAGCTCAGTCACGTCACGCCGCTTCTGCCTCTTCAGCGGCCTCACTGTGGAGTGGGGCTGACAATCTACCCTTTGCAGAGCTGATGTGAGAACCAGAAGCAATATGTATGCAACATCTTGAAGCGCTCAGTCCATCCCTCAACATCCTGTCTTCCCCCTTAAAAACACAAACAAGCAGGCCCTCCCTGGTGGCGCAGCGGGTTAAAGCACAGCACTGAGAATCTAAAGCCACTTCCTCATGAGTTCGATTCCCGCCTGCCCCGGATGTGAGAACCAGAAGCAATATGTATGCAACATCTTGAAGCGCTCAGTCCATCCCTCAACATCCTGTCTTCCCCCTTAAAAACACAAACAAGCAGCTGCTACCTTGTCTATAAATATGATGTCGAGGCCCTCCCTGGTGGTGCAACGTGCTAGGGTGCAGCACTGCAAACTAGCCTTAGCCTCTGCAGTGCAAGTTCTATCCCTGGCCCCGGAGGTGACCCACATGGTGCAGCAGACCTCTCCTGACTTGTCCGCTCAGCAGTGTACTTGATCGAGCTACCTGTTCTGCTCCCCATTCTGTATCTGGGGAATCCTCTCACCACCCCTACATCTATGGCCTGTATCCCAGTTCTTTATGCATAAATAAATAAATAAATAAATAAATCTTTAAAAGTAAATAAATGAATGTGATGTCCAGGGTTGGGTACCAGGCTCTGTCCTAATATTACTGAGGCAAAAATGCCAGGAATGGGCTTATCTTCAGTGTGGGCAGCCTGCGGGGTCTGATGGAGCCTTGGACAAATGCAACTTCTACTCTGATGAGACAAAACTCCGTAGTCACTCACCCTACACTGGTCCTCATTAGTTATCCACAAGCATAACATAAAAAAAGTGATGGGAGTTTGGCTAACAGTCACTTATAAAGAAAGCAATTTAGGGGTGTGTGTGTGTAGGGGGATCTCTTGAGCCTGCCTATCAGAAAGGAAATGCACTGGGTACACGGTTCGGTTTTGATAAGATGTGTTGGATGAGCCTGGGCAAGTGCCAGCATTTCTCCTTGTTACCTGCGGGAGCAGCTGGTGGAGCTGTGTTGCCGGTGCCCTGGTTTGTCCAGCGGGCAGAGAGTCCAGCCTTCGCCACTGCCCGCTGGTAGTTGTCATAGAGGGTCTTTCCATACTTGGGAGGGAACACAAAAGAAGAAAGGAAGTCATTTATCCCAAATTCCGTATTCAAGTGCAATATTTATATTGAGGATGAAAAAGTATTTTTTAAGTCCAAGTATTGCAATAAAAAAGTAACAATTTTTTTCATGTATGGAATAAATTTCCATATTAGCAGTTAGTAAATACTTTTACCTCGACATGGGAGGAAGTCTTCTGTCACTTGATTCTGATTGTATGTCTTTATGTAACATATCACACACTCTGTGGCTGAGTATCAGCGAAGTCTTATGTGGAAGTAAATTTGTGATTCTCAGGCCATCTGAGAGATCCATTCGCACTTACTAATGAAACCCAGTGGGCAAATAAATGAAATAGTATCTGCAGAACTGACCCATTTAGAACGGGTCACCTGTTTCTCAGTAGCACAAGTTTGGTCCCACCTCAAGAAGCTGTCTGGCAAGTTCAAGATACAGCGAGTCTAAATGCCTCTCACCTTGGCGATCCTAATTCCTGCAATCCACTGGTTTAGCGTTCTCGCATCATCACAGCAGAGATACTTGATATACTGGGACTCCTTCTGAATTTGGGGATGCTAGAAAAGTCATTTACACAAACCATTTATAAGCTCTTCCTTTATTAACACCTTTCAAAAAATTTAAAATGATAACAATATATGTGATTCATGAAGTGATGACAAAGATGAATGGATTAGAGGTCATTTTGGCTTTAGATGAATGTTAAAAAATTTAGGATTAAGGGCCCTCCCTGGTGGCGCAGCGGGTTAAAGCACAGCACCAAGAAGTAAAAGCCACTTCCACATGAGTTCGATTCCCGCCTGCCCCAGAGGTGACCACATGGCACGGCAGACCTCTCCTGACCAGCCCGCTGCTCCCCTCAGCAGTGTACTTTGTTGATCTGCCTGTTCTGCTCCCCTCTGGGTCTCGCGATCTGATCTGCCTGTTCTGCTCCCCTCTCTGTCTCTGGTGTGTCCTCTCACCACCCCTGCACCTCTGGCCTGTACCCCAGTTCTGTATGCACAAATAAATAAATATTTAAAACAAACAAAAACCAAAAATTTAGGATTAGGAAGAGGGGTACTTTTAAAAAATGGGCAACATTGGAAAGGATTTAAAAAATCTGTGAGGTGATAACATAAGCACTTATATTATCAAGAATAAATTTTTGTTTCAGCTTTTCTAACTTTTGAAAGCCTTCATATCATGTCTCTATCACAAAAATTTAGAATCATTTATTTATCAAATAAGGGAACTTATTGATGGATGTAATTCCTATTTCACAGAATTCATGCTTTTGGGACCTTCCAGACATAGGGTTATTTTTGCTCCCAGGGATTCAGGGTTTCCTTCTTTCTGGACTGTTACCTTCTACTTAACTGGGGCATTTGGCCTCTAGATGCATGTTCAAGAGAAAATAAATTTTCGTCTGTTCTCAAGAGGCCTTAGTTTGGAGGCTGCCTTCTGGGCAGTATGTGCCTTCTGGAGTCAAAGAGATAAGTGATATGGGCAGGTACAAAGCAGAGAGACACACAGTTACCACCAAGTCTTCCTTCTCAATCCTCATGGCTCTCACATGTCCTGTTTTACGTCTCTCTTTCTGTTAGAGTGTGAGTACCGTGTGAGTGGGAACCAGGTCTGTCTTTCACTCTTCAAGACCCTGAAGCTTATTAGCACATGGTCTAGAGCATCGTACGCATTCCAGTCCAGAGGTGGAAAGAATTGTTGAAGGAAATAAGATTTCCCATTCAGAGGGAAGTCTTAAGGCCCTAAGGGGAAGGGCAGGAGCCAAGTCCAGGCCCCAAGCCGTGTGCCATGTGAATTTGCATGGTCTTTCTCATAATCTATTACAGAGAAGTATAATAGTGTGTGTGTGTGTGGGGGGGGAGATAACACAGAAAATTTTGGAAATTATGAAGAATTCTTCCTTTTGGCTTTTGGAGCTAATTGATCACAAGCTGCTTTCATACGTTTCTCTTTCACTAGACCTTTCCCTTTATTTAGGTTCTTCAGTCCTCAGAATTTTCATCAGCATCACTGGAGGAAAGGTCCGTTTCTAGTATTTGTTTAGGTACCGTGGGGGTCTCCTCTCTCCCAGAATGAGCACTCCGGGGGGTGGGGTGGGGGGCTGCTGCTCCTGCACCAGACCTGTGGTTTTCCACTCGCAGCCAGCAGATGGCGGCAAACACTTTAGAATGGCAGCTGCGCTTTTCGCCGGGATTGCCACTCAGCTCCTAAGTCCTGAATATTAGATTTTACTTTTGCAGTTGCTACCCCAATATTAATCCTCTAAAAGGCCCCACAATGGAATTGCCTACCAGCTCAGATAAGCAAAGAAGGATTTATTACATTAAAGTTCCTATTAATGAAAAGTAGCTGAGGCCGTTTCCTGGAAGGAGTGTGACCTCCCACAAATACTGCAGCATGTCCTTCAAAGGCAAATACTGCAAAACCAACCCCAAATTCTTGTCTTTCAGCCCCAGAAGCACAGCTCCCTAACTTGAAATGGGCTTCTTGGTCTTGTTTATATCTTTCTTTCTGAGACATCAAAAAGTTGCCATTATCGGCCCTCCCTGGTGGCGCAGCGGGTTAAAGCACAGCACTGAGAAGCTAAAGCCACTTCTGCATGAGTTCGATTTCCGCCTGCCCCGGAGGTGGCCACATGGCGCGGCAGACCTCTCCTGACCCGCCCGCTGCTCCCCTCAGCAGTGTGCTTTGTCGATCTGCCTGTTCTGCTCCCCACTCTGTCTCTGGTGAAGCCTCTCGCCGCCCCTGACCTCTGGCCTGTACCCCAGTTCTGTATGCACAAATAAATAAATCTTTAAAAAAAAAAGTTGCCATTATTGCTTAGGGCTTGCTTGTTAAACTTTTTTTGGCTGTTTGTCTTTTGCGACACAGGGTGTGAGAGCCAGGGTCCCGGATGCAGACTCTTTCCATGTGCTTGTGATTACATGTACAAAGCAGCGTCTGTGTGTCAAGGTTTCCACGTCAACAGCACAGCAGACCATCTCTCTCTAGTACGGTATTCATCCAACTAGAGGAACATATGATTCTTCCAATACATACAATGGCTTCTGAGCATACAGCAGAGACAAGGCCTCTTAAATGCAAGACCTAGCAATGGCTCCTCTGGTGACCGCGATGCAGGTGAACAGACCTGGTTCATCCACTCCAGCCTCCATGGGGCAGTCTCAGCACTCTCTTTACACCACGTGTTTTAGGGATGATTGCAGGAGAATAATTAGGCCTCAGATGAGCTGAAAGCTCTCTTTTTAGCCTTCTAAAAGAGCTGCCCAGGGCCTTCCCTCGTGGCCCAGAGGATTAAAGCACATCACTGCAAGCGAGCTGCAGCTTCTTCAGTGCAAGTTCGATCCCCGACTTGGACACATGATGTGGCAGACCTCTCCTGACCCACCCACTGCTTTCCTCAGTAGTGTATTTCATAGATCTGCCTGTTGTGCTCCCCATTCTGTCTCTGGTGAATCCTCATAATAAAACACACTTTAAAAAGATTCAAGACCTGGTCATATTTTTTTAGAATTTCCCCCCTAATTTTTCTATTCTGTATTTTTCTAAGAAATCTCATCAAGTTCCTAATTTCTAAACACTTATGGTGGAGTGAGAGTTCACTGTAATAAATAAAGAACTGAGAAACTCCCTCAATATTATTAATAAAATTATAAATCACATTTGTTCAAAATGAAGAGCTCTTATTTTCAGAAGGATGAATAAATGCAGACAGATATTGGGGGAAATGATCCAAATGGGTAGAAGTGTTTTCCCTTTTCCAATTTTAGTTTAAAAAATTATTGTTATTTTTATGAATAACTACTAATATTTAACATTTTTTTAACCTTAAAAGAGAGTGTTAGCTCAGATTGCTTACAATTTAAATTAAGGACCTCTTACTAAGCCATACCTTTAAAACAAAGCAGTAGTCAGTTGGTGCTTTATATTTCATTTTGCACTGAATCCCATAGTAAATGTTGACATTTTCAAACTGTATAAAACATGCCAGATCCCGAGATGTCTGAAAAAGGAAGAAAACAACCTTACCAGATTTGGTGGTTAATATTTTTCTAAGACTGCTCTCAATGGCACAAGCAAGGATGACAGTTTAGCAGAAAAATATTAAATTTTAAATAACTTATTTAAGTATCTTCCATGCAGTTTTCTAAAAGCCTAGTCTGCAGTTTAAGAGAGAAAAATGCACACCCAAAGCAAAACAGCAAGTCACAGACCCAGAAACAAAGTTTATCCTCCAGTGCAGAGACTGGTGAGCTGCGTCACCAGTGCTGGTGCAGGCGAGAAAGGTGACTGAGCATCTAATCAGAAATTTCATCTTGGCTCTTGTCATTCTAAGTCAGTGATGGATTTCACGATTGAGCATGTAAGAAGTCCCCCCTCAGGATGAATAACAAGAGGCAAACTCGATGCTCAGTAAATTAGTACACACTTCATGCGCTTCTTTCCGAGAAAAAGGATCCTTTTATGCTTTTCTCCTTAGAGCTGGAGGCGTTGCTATGGAAACGAGCCTCTCCTCCCTGCAGATATGCACTGGGAAGACCGCTAATCTACGCATTTGTTTACACTTCAATTACAAATTTGTCCCATTACTCTTTTTTTCTCCCTCACATTCTATAATGTTTTACCTAGTTAGTGAATACAGAGTAAAGGGCAGAACCGTCCCACCTTAGTGTACAAGTATTCCTTTATATTCATTATTTTCCCTCGGAAGGTATTTTCTTCTGGATTTTCAAAGTTTTAACTACAAAATGATTGCCTCCTCATCCTAATGTTAAGAAACAGTGTACGTACACACATAATCAAATGACAATCTCCCTTCATTATCCCCCTTTTTTACTTCTCTCTTTTTCCAGAAGAAATATTTGGTAATACTCTTGCACATATTTTCTGGTAAAACTGATGCACTATGTGTAGACAAATCTACCTGCCTACATGTATACATCTACATATCCAATTTAAAAAATGTGAAAGTGATTTTACTATAAATACTATTGCATGAACTTATTCTTTTCTGAACATTGTATCCAGGGCTCTTTCTAGGTTGTCACATAGGCATGAATATATGACATCATTTTATAGCTATTAACATTCCATTCTAGAGGTGCAATTATGTATGTAACTATTCTACACAGAAGACTCGAGGTTATCTCAGTATTCTTCTGTTACAAAAATAACTGAGCAAATATTTTTGTGGGATAGATTGCCAAAAGTGGAACTGACATCTGAAGGGGCATTCCTGTTTATATTTGCATAGCTATTGCTAAATTGAGGATTTGCCTGAAAAGCTTATTCCTATCTATGCATGAAAATGTTCTTGTCCCATCATTCTGCTGCCTGAGGGTTTCATTAGGTTCTCTTTCAAGCAATGCTTTTTTGCTAATGTGTTTCATTTTTTGTTTGTTTGTTGCTGACCTTAGTCTTTCCTTTTGGCACATAATAAATTCCAGAAGCCCTGAGAAGAAAATAACGCCTCTTCCACGATTTCTTTCCATCTTCTTTCAGATAAAGAGCGCCTTCAAGTTCCGGCACAATGACAGATGTCCCACAGAAACTTTCCTAAAATTGAGATTCCGATTATAAAACATATGAAAAATAAAATGTATACTTTCTTCACATTTAAGCAAATGGTGGCAAGTTAGCCTTTAAGTTGAAAGTCATCTTTCTCTATAATTCAAGTTAAGTGCCAAAAGAGAAAGAATGTGGTGACAGCTGAGTAGGGCTTCTTTCCGACTGAGACTTCAAGGCTTCCTGACCACCTAGCTCTGTGACCATAGGCAAGTCTCTAAATTTCTTTCATTTGAAAAAATGGATTAATAGTAGCCTGAAGTTGTATTTCCTCAGCATGTTGTAAAAGTAAATACTAGATAAAGGCTACTGGTAAATAGACAAATTATCACTCTTCTTGCAAGTAAAAAAAATGGCATCATCATACATAAAAAATTATAATATAAATTGTATACATAATGTATAAGTTAATTTATTCTTGGGATGGTTTTCTTATCAAAAATGGAGAAGGCAATTATTAATATTATAATATCAAAAAAAGAGGGTGCCAAAGTATATTTTCTAGGTGAGATTTTCAAATGTCAGAATTTGCATTGTGTTATATAATTCTTAATACATTTCTTTTCTTTCAAAATACGGTACACTGAAATGACATACTTTGCTCCTTTCTGTTAAATTCTCAGACACAATTTTTGCTTTCTTACACCTTTCATCTTCATTTCACTCAGTCTCAAAAGTATAGAATAACTTTTAACGTGGAGCTGGGATGCATTTCTGTTCGCATTCCACATACTCCCACCCCTTCAGAGTTCCTCACATTTAATAACTATGACCTGTCGTCTTGTCAGTCATCTTTGAAACTCAAGCAGATTTTCTGGCCAACTAGACTTTTCACAGTATAATGTGCTTTGCATTTTCTTTCGGCTTTGAAAAGACAACTATTCAGGCAATTGTATATATCATTACCAGTCCCCAGTAGAGATAGCATTGACTGAAAATGGGGCTGTGTTCCCTTTCTGTTTCTCTCCCTTACTGCTTTCAGAACCTGAATCTCCTTGCTGCTGGAGTGACTGGTGCTCAGATGAGTTTCTGGAACAGGTGCCTGGAGCGGGCTTTGAGGCCCCTGTGGTGACAGCACTCTGTCCTCTGCACCTCCCAGGACCGCTGCAATACTGCAGTACAATCCAGGAAACTGGGCTTGTCCTACCTGGCATCTCTTCTCCAACTCCAACCTCATTTTCCCACCATATGGATGCAGCAAGGATGGTGGGAACCATGAGATCTGGAAATCTCTGGATCTGACTTTCAAGGATCACTAATGGGATATCCAAAGTGTTAGCAGGCATATTTTGTACAGATTTGTCTTTTAGTCAAGAATTACAACTTCATGAAATCCAACTTCATGAAATGCAAAACATATTGTCCAAAGCCATACATATTTTTTACAACTGACTGAGTTTAACACAATGCTATAATTTAATAACTTGACTTTAAAATCCTAAGTTAAAATTTCAGTGTTTCTCAGAATTTCTCATTGTCTGAGAAGCAAATAATATATAAAAAGTCACCCTTTTTCTTCTACTCAGCAAAGCCAAACTTACCTCAAGTAAGGATTCTTTGTTTTTAGCATTCATTTTCTCATTTGCCTCCTTGCTTTCTTTTTTTCCTTTGTTGTTCAAGTAAAAATTCTAGAATAAAATATGAAAAGATCAGATGAGCCAGCGTTCATCACCACGGGCTGCGAATTTTCTCTGGGGAGAGATGTACCTGCATGAGATAAACGAGGCAGCATTGCATGTCGGCCTAGCGCTGTCCCGGAGCTGGTGAACACCAGCCAGAGGTAAACCCACCCTTCTTCCCACTGCTCACAATCAAAAGAAAACAAACAAGATTGGGAACTAGTTAAACGATGTGGTCCACATACTATTTTAATTTTTTTTAGATTTATTTATTTGTGCATGCAGAACTAGGGTACAGGCCAGAGCTGCAGGGGGGGATGAGAGGCTTCACCATGGACAGAGCGGGGAGCAGAACAGGCCCACTGGCGAAGTACACTGCTGAGGGGAGAAGCCGGCGGGTCGGGAGAGGTCTGCCACGCCATGTGGGTCACCTGGGTGGCAGTGGATCGAACTCGCATGAACTCGCCAGTTGCAGTGCTGTGTCCTTACCCGTTGTGCCACCAGGGAGGGCCTATTTTTAATTTTTAATGGTAAATGTAGTTGCTAATGGTTGTAGCAGTTTACATTAATGGGATTCTATTTTTCCTGCACTCTCTTTAGTACTTGTTGGAGGGTCTTTTTAATGTGAGCCATTCTTATAGATCTTGGAGGGTATCTTGTGGTCTTTTTTATCTCTCTACTGGAATGATAATGCACATTTTCACTCTCTATTGACCTTCTGAATAGCCTCTTTGGCGAATTGTCAGTTCAGATCTGCTGCCTGTTTGTTTACTAACTTAGTTGCTTGTTTGTTTTTTTATTGTTGAACTATGTGAACTTTTCACATACCCTGGATATTAGCCTCTGTGTTTTTGTTTTAATGAAAATGCAAAAAAACACAAAGTCAATCTGAGCTGGAGACTAGAGGGAGGAAGTTCTTAAAAGAGACTAGTTGCGACTAGGTCAGAATTTTCTTTCCTCTTTAAAAAAATTTTATTTTTAAAAATTTTAAAATATATTCATTACAACATCCTTCATTTTTGTACAATGCATGGTTTCCCTGTGAAATCCCCACCGGCCAGTCAGCCTGTGCACCATCGTCGTAGTCCACATAGTCCCTCGTGCTCTTCCCACTCCTGTCCTGGGCTTTCTCCCTCTTCCTCCCCTACAGAATGTCTCTGATCTATAGTTGCCTGGTGATTTTGATTTTAACTTTATTATAGTGACTTTTTTCCTGTTGTGAAAGTTCTTAGTCAAGTCAGTTTGCGCAAAGCTGCAGAACTCAAAAGTCAATTTATTATTGTACAAGTGGGAACTGGAGAACCTGAAGTTAATAATAAAGGAACTTGCAAAATGGGAAATGAGGCTTTCAGTCACAGCCGCTTCCCTTTTCTCATCGCTTCTGAATATGTAAGATTTGGGGGCAGCTGGATAGAAACAGCAAATATATTCCTTAAAAATATCACTTCCCTGGACATATGCAGCCTTGTGTTTATTGCAACTCGATTCACAATGGCCAGGTGTGGAAACAACTTAACAACACGAGAATGCCAGCAGCACACAGAGGATAAAGAAATGCTGGCTACATGCACGGGGAATGTGGCCCAGCTGAACAATAAAGCGAATTTGTGTCACATGCAGCAGCATAGGTGGGGTTGAAGGGGTCATGCTTGAGTCTAGGGTACTGTCCCTGTTTTCTTCTTTGTCTCCTTTCATGCCAGCATCCATTCATTGGTCACCATCTGCTGCAAAACTGGATCTTCTAAATATTTCTCAGGGGTCTCTAGCTCACCATCGGCTCCTTTTTCTGAGCACCTGGTTTGCAGTAACCTTGACCATCCTGTTCTGCTTCTGTCTAGTCTAAATGAAGTCTTGCCATATGATTTGGTCTGAACACAACTTGCTCAGGATTAAAGTGACAGCAGAAACAACACATTAGTTAAAATATTAATATTTCAGGCCCTCCCTGGTGGCGCAGTGGGTTAAAGCACAGCACTGAGAATCTAAAGCCGCCTCCACATGAGTTCGATTCCCAACTGCCCCGGAGGTGACCACATGGTGGCAGACCTCTTCTGACCCGCCCGCTGCTCCCCTCAGCAGTGTACTTCGTTGATCTGCCTGTTCTGTTCCCCACTCTGTCTCTGGTGAAACCTCTCACCACCCCCGAGCCTCTGGCCTGTACCCCAGTTCTGTATGCACAAATAAATAAATCTTTAAAAAAAAAATTCTACTATTTCAAAGCTCAGTGATTTAGCCAATGGGCTCATTTTCCAATTATTTATAGGAATCCTTGAATTCAGGAGTTTTTTTTTCCTTTTTTTTTTTTTTAAATCTCCCTTCTTTATCTCATTTTATTTGGCATCTGTTTCTCAAGTCGGGGTTTGTGGTGAAGTGTGGGCAAGTGGTGTGTGTGTAAACTTAACAGCTCAATGCCGCTTAGCACTGCTGTATTCATAGGACTTAAGTCCTTAGGGGGTTCAAGTGTCCACCAGCTCTGACAGGAGCCAGAGGCAAACAGCACGCTGCTGGCTGAATGCAGAAAACAGGATCCCTGACAAATACCCGGGGCTTCAGAATCTCCCACCCCATCATAACCTGCTGCAGAAGGCATTCACTCGTGGTTATTTCCAAAAGCCATTTCTCTGCAAGTACAAAGCCTGAACTTCAGCTTCACCCACAAAGAGCAGTGTGCACCCTCTTTGTGGTTGTTCCTCTCACCAAACTGAAGCTGAATCACACAGCATCAAGAAGTGTAACTTTAAAGTACAGGATGCAACTAAACAGGCAAAGGAGGCAAGCTTACCTTGAAAAAAAGAATGGGGATTGAATCAACTGCCTACAGTACTCGTAAACGAATCGCATATACGTAAGACTGCATGGATTGCTAATAATTGGAAATACTCATCTGTGGCTGCCTTGCCCATAGAATATGCTCGTCAATGACACAATATTTGTCAATTTCTTTTTCACCCATTTCCTGAATGAGCTGTCACTCTCTACCCTACCCCCACTTTACTCTTACCTTGTTGTCTTTTCTACTTCTGGTTTATTTGTACCCATCTCCCCTTTTAAGGTAGCAATTTTCCACACTTTTCTTTAGACTGTCCACAGAGTCTTTCAGAGGCTCTTTCCCTTCAGGGCAAATGGCTGGGGTAATTCCATTAAAGGATCCTCATATGAGCCAATATTGAAAAGACATTGAGTATTTGGACATCTTTTGAGGAGACGACAAAATAAATTGTTTAGAAACTCAGTCTTTTTCTTTTATGATTGCCGGTGAAGTCTAGTTCTTTTTTTTTTTTTTTAAAGATTTATTTGTGCATGCAGAACTGGGGTACAGGCCAGAGGCTAGGGGCAGCGAGAGGCTTCACCAGAGACAGAGTGGGGAGCAGAACAGGCAGATCCATGAAGTACACTGCTGAGGGGAGCAGCGGGCGGGTCAGGAAAGGTCTGCCGCGCCATGTGGGTCACCGCCGGGGAAAGCGGGAATCGAGCTCATGCGGAAGCGGCTTTAGATTCTCAGTGCAGTGCTTTAACTTGCTGCGTCACTAGGGAGGGCCGAAGTCTAGTTCTTTATATCCAGTTTCAAATTAACTTTCACATAATGAGTGGGCAGTACACTGATTTGGTTCAGCTGGGCAGGAAGATCAACCTCGGTTCAGCCTCTGAGTAGGGAGTCGAAGCGGGATCTCAGTTACCCTGTGCCCTATTCATGGACTCATCATTTCATGTAAATGCTGGCAATAAAAAAAAAAAAAGGCAACTAATGCCCAAATGAAATAAATATAGGATGTATTTGGATTTTTAAATTAACTTTGAGATGTTGCTTGAGGAGAAAAGGCGAAGGTAATTAAACAAAAGAATTTCTAGGATGTTAGGATGTGTTTACATAAGAAACTTCCTGTAGAAATACTCTTCTCTAAGATTTTTTTATCCTTTTGGTATAACTTAGTATAACAAAATAAGGCTTATGTCAACAACGATGGAAGCATCTCAGCACAGAGCTCTTAAACAGAGATGGAGGCATTTTTGAGATTACACAGTCTCCTTTTCAGGACCCTGTGGGGGTTTTGATGAGAATGTCACACAGTGTTCCACCCAGATGTCAGGTGCTGGAGTCACCCTCCATGAAGGTCAGAAGACAAATTATTCACACAAATACCGAGAAAGTAGAAATATTGAAAACCAACCACGTTAGGGCCTCCCTCATGGCCTAGGGGTTAAGTTTTAGTGCTATAACTGCTACAGCCTGTCTCGTCCACTGCTCCCCTCAGTAGATCCACCTGTTCTGCTCCCCACTCTGTCTCTGGTATATCTCCTCACCCCCCTGCACCTCTGGTCTACATCCCAGTTTCTTGAATGCATGGATAAAAATAAATCTTAAAAAAACAAAACAAATCTTCGTGGGTATACAGTTAATGCTTTGCATACTTATTTAATAGCTGCTATGGCAAATTGCAGATATCCATTAAGCCTCACAGTTATACCAGAGTAGAACCAAATTACACCAATCCTGGATGCTACTTTTTTTTTTTTT